GGTAAACAGCCAGGAATGGGGCTTGTGCTGTAAACAGCCAAGAATGGAGCTTGTGCTGTAAACAACAAAATGGAGCTAGTTTGGCTCTCACAGTTTCCCTAAAGTTTAGGTTAAAAACACGGGGCACACTGCTCCTGGGGTGCAGTGAGATACGGCACCTTCTGGGTACAGTGTACCCTGTTCGAGGATGGGTGCATTGAAAGCCTATACTTTTCTACCCAATTCAGCCATGTAACAAAAAATCACCTGCACCCCCTAAATCTATTTAAATAAAACTTTTAAGTGAGGAGAAAGCATTTATATTTTTCAAATTTTAATGTTTTAATGTATAAAGTTGCTTGTTAAACTTTTGTAGGAAAAGGGGTTTGGGAGCAGGCAGGGTTGAAGACTTCAGTTGAGTCTAAATAGCAGCTGCAACTAAGACCACAGATCAAAGGATTACCTGCAGGGCAGAGCTGCCGGGCGCTGTCTGGCACTTTATTTAGTCATCTCTCACACAGGTTCTCACCTTCACGCTGGACCTGGAATAAATCATGCCCTCTGAAAACTCCTGTTTACACACGCTCCGTGTTGCTTTTCAAAGTGCTTTTTCAGGCTGGGCCTGATGGCTCATGCCTGTAATCCCAGCACTTTGGGAGGCTGTGGTGGGCAGATTAGCTGAGCTCACAGGTTCCAGACCAGCCTGAGCTAGAGTGAGACCTCGTCCCTAAAAATAGCTGGGTGTTGTGGCGGGCGCCTGTGGTCCCAGCTACTCGGGAGAATGAGGCAAGAGAATCACTTGAGCCCAAGAGTATGAGGTTGCTGTGAGCTGTGACGCCAGGGCACTCTACCTAGGGTGACAAAGTGAGACTCTGTCTCAAAAAAACAAAAACAAAAACAAACCCAAAATGCTTTTTCGTGTATCATCCTAATGAACGAACATAGCTGAATCCGTGAGTGTAGTTGATAATATATTTAAGTTTTCTGGGTAGCATTTCTTAATTTAAAAATATTTTTAAAATTTAAAAATAAATGTGCCTTTATTTTAGATGTCACTCTAGTGTTTAGAGTCCTTTCTTGCCTACCTGTGAGATTCTTATACCTTATTTGTTTAAGGAAATAATTTGCACTGGTTTGATAAAATGGAGGTATATAAGCTAGAAAAAATGTTAAATGTCCACTGTAGCTTGACAGGTCTGAAGTCAATCACACTGTCCTTGTCCTTGTCCTTTTCCTGACAGAGGCCTCTTCATCAGCATTCACGATCGGGGACATGTGGCTTCAATTCTGGACGCGTGGCCAGAGGAAGTCATCAAGGTGAGCGGTCCTGTTCTTCCACTGTGGGAAATTTGTTTCTTTTCCATAAAACAGTTTAAAACATGCCGAAATTCTCTCAGTAATAGGTAGTATACAGGAGTTCTTCTAATTTATATCCCTTTGACTCTTGCATAGCAGACCCGATTTTATTCTGACGCCGTTTAGATGCTGAGCTTCCCCATCAGTTCTGATTTCTTAGCAACTCCATCCTTAGTGATGATAAGTGTGAACACGCAGTGGCAACTGAATTTCTTTCTTTCATTCTTTCTTTTTTTTTTGAAATCTTCAATGATTTATGTTCAGAGGCTGAAATATTAATACATATAGCAGATTCTGGTGAAAAGAGAAGAAAGTAGACTATTTCTCCCCAAATGGTTGAAATGAAACTCACTTGGAAATAGTTCCTGCTGTGAATGCAATTCTCTGACTCTCTTTTATGGCCTGGGTGATTGTGAAGTACAATATCACTTCTCAGCAGCCTGCCTGATAAACATTTAAATCTCAGGAAGTGTACTCTTCAGTTGGGAATTTCGAAATTCTCTCTTTGAATTTCTTTAGGCTGAATGCTTCATTGTATCTGCTGTGGTTAATGGTTCAGGAAGAGGAATTCAAGGAGGCAAGAGAAATGTCAGTTTTTTCTTTTATGGTGATGACTTTAAATAGCTCACGTGGCTTCCCTCTAAGTGAGCTAAGGAAAATAAAAGTTATAGCGGTGTCTGACATCTGGTAGATTTTGTATGAGACACTTTGCGTGGATTAGCTCCTGTAACTGTCATAATAACTTAGTGACCCAGGAGGCGCAGAGGGGCTGCACCGTGGGGCACGGTTGTGGGGACACAAAGGCAGGCTGAGCTGGGCCCAGAGCCCTCCCCTCCACCTGCCGCCTGACTTGTCCCCCCGACTTTCTTTCTTTTCTCTTGTGTGCCCAGCAACTTTGTGGTGTCTTTTAGGACTAAGATTGAATAATTCAGTGTGTTTCAGTGGTACAGAGACACTTTAGCTGTAACTTCTCAAGTCTGGCTCCTTTCCTGATCTTTCCTATTTGAGCAATTGCAGCTACAGTAGATTAACTTGGCTCTCTAAGACTCATGCCAGGAAAACTCACAAATTACAGTGATTAAGATGTTTTCCAGGTCAGCCTCTCTTTCTGGGCCTCGGTCCTCCGCCCACGCCCGCAGAGCCTGTTCGCGTGGACTGACCAGAGTCTGCGAATTCTCCGCTCTGATCCTGTCCAACCTTCCCCCACCCTAGCTTTCTATTGTTTGAAAACTCTAAGAGTAATGTCCCTGCATCAGTTTTTACTAGAGCCAATCATCTGTCATGCCTGGAACAGGGATCATACCCAAATTGCCCTTAGCCCCAATAATCATGAAGTGCACATCTATAAAAAAAACAGGAGCCAGTGGATAAAGCTCAC